TAAGGTGACATTAAAACATCAAGTAATCATCTTTTCCCTTTGTATTAGTTTCCTAGTGCTGTTATAATAAATCATCACAAACAGCTGTGGCTTAAAAAACACACATTTATTTTCTTACAGCTCTGGAGGTCAGAAGTCCAAAATCAGTTTCACTAATTTCAAGGTGAAATCAAGGTGTTGGCAGGGACCTGCTCCTTCTGGACACTCTCTGGGAGAATCAGTTTCCTTGTGTTTTACAATTTCTAGAGATGCATTTCTGTTTGTGGCCCCTTCCTCCATCTTTAAAGCCAACAGTCTAATGTCTTCCATATCTGTGTCTCCATCTTCACATCACCTCTCTCATGGGGACCTTTGTGATTACATCCAGCACACCCACATAATTAATTCAGGGTAATCTCTCCATCTCAAGGTCAGCTGATTAGCAACCTCAATTCCCCACTTAATTCCCCTTTACCATGAAACATAACATATTCACAAATTCTGAGGATTAGGACATGGAGATGTGTGGAAGGGGGACACTATTCTTCCTATGATACTCTTGTTTCCAAATTTTGAATAATTCTTCATAATCTCGTCCTATACATTTTGTTTTTCAACTTGTTTTTCACCAATCTTTTCACTTAGCACCTACTGTATATGTCTACCCCATTCTTTTTTTTTTAGTAGACACACAATGCTACATTATGTTTCAGGTGTACAACTTAGTGATTTGACAAGTTTACACATTATGCTTTGCTCACAAGTGGAACTCCCATCTGTCACCATACATCACTATTACAATATTATTGACTTATTCCCTATGCTGTGCCTCTTATTCCATGACTTATACATTCCATAACTGGGAGCCTGTATCTCCCTCTCCCCTTCACCCATTTGGCCCAATCCCCCACTCCTTTCCCTTGTGGTGACCATCAGTTTGTTTGCTATTTATAGGTCTGATTTTGCATTTTGTTTATGCATTTTTTAGATTCCACTTATGAGTGGAATCATATGGTATTTTTCTTAGTCTGACTAATTTCACTTAGTGTAATTCCCTCTAGGTCCATCCACGGTGTCTCAAATGGCACGATCTCATCCTTTTTGTGGCCACATAATATTCCATTATACACACACACATACACACACATCTTCCTTATCCATTCATCTATTGATGGACACCTAGGTTGTTTCCATATCTTGGCTACTGTAAATAATGCTATAGTAAACATAGGGGTGCATATATCTTTTTAATGGCTGGACAGTATTCCAATGATAGAATTATCAGAATTTAATCATTTCCTTATAGGTGGAAATTTAAGTTGTTACCAACTTTTCATTGTTACAAACAGTGCTATAATGAACATTCCTGTACACATCTCTTTGCACAAATGTGGCTATATGTTGCCATAGGAAAAATTCCTAGAGGCTAAAATTCTGAGACAAAAAGTATGCCCTTTTAATTTTGACAAATACTGACAAATTGCCTTCCAAAGACTTAGGCCAATACTTTACTCTCATACCAGTGATGAGAACCAGTGGCTATTTATCTCCAGTGTCACTTAAACTCAATATTTGGGATTTGCTTTTGAGTCTTTCAGCATCTATAAAGCACTCTGAAATATCCATGTAGGTTTTCCTGGCACAAAATGAGTTTAATAATTGTTTAATAAATTAAAGGTTAGAACAATGCAAATTCAAATGTACAGCTCAGAGGGCTTGTCCCAACAATGATACAATGGTAACAGGGCTAATATGTGTCAATGTGTCTTGAATATAATACAGTGCTATTCAGAGGTTATCATCTCTATCCATGAAAGTGTATTGTTTTCACACTTAGTTCCCATAGCTCACACAGGTTAGCCTTGCTGCTTCCCAGTTTCACATGGTATATGCTTTGTTGCCAAGGCTCATATCACACTTTCCCTGTGCACCCCAGAGGTTCTAAGGTCTAAAGTGTGTGATTAATGGTGCTAGTCCTTCAAGAGGAAAGGCATAAGATTCTGGGCATGTGTGTCCCCTGAAGACAGTAATAAAGCTCAACAGCAAAAGTTTCAGAGAATGAGGTTCCCCACTCTTGGGGAGGTAAATATTTTGGAGGGTCCAGAGTTCACTGCTTTTATACTAAAGGACTTTTCAGAAACAGAACTCTACAGGTTTTTTTTTTTTTTAAGATTTTCTTTTTAAGTAATCTCTACACCCAACAAGGGGCTCAGATTCACATCCCCGAGATCAAGAATTGCAGGCTCCACAGACTGAGCCAGCCAGGTGCCCCGGAACGCCACAGGTTTAGATGGAATGTCCTGGTGAACATTCTACCCTTCAGCTGCTCACACCACCCTTACCATGGAAGTAGCAATCAACTCTGAATGCTGAGGACCATGAGCTTGGGAGGTGCGGGTGGGAGCAGGTTAGCTGAAAGAGCACTGAATGTTGATTTAGGCTCTCAGGATGGGACAGCTGGGGGAGGGGCATTATTCTTCCACATCCTATCCGTGGCCTGCTTTAGAACTAGGAGTCAGCTTCTCAGCAGGAGTAAGGGCAGTGTTGCTAAGAGGAAGTATAAGAGAGTGGGCTTCAGCACTCCCCTGCTGTGATTGGTTGTTTGGGGGGTGAGGGGGAGAAGATTCATACAAACCTGGGTAGTAATTGCTCCCTCCAGTTTTATTCCCACGACCAGGGTCTGGAAGCTGTGTGTTTAAGAACACACAGGAGACAAAATCCTGAAACTAGAAAGGAAATGGATCCACCTACCACTCTCCCCCATCTTATCTCCCAACGCCCAGTATGTAAGTACCTGTAAACATTAAATATAAGTACATATAAGTACATGTGAACATTAAATAACATCAACCTGTAAGTACAGGTGAACACATACTCCATTTTCATCCCAGGCCTTTTAGGACTTGACCTTTTTCTCTCTAGAGTAAATTGAGTGATGCCTCTTGATTACGAGTGTTTGTAAGAAAGAATGCTTGATATGAACCGAGCCACAGCCCAGAAAAGATTCCTGGAACCACTAACATATTAAACTAATTCCACAAAGGACCTAAGAGGATTTAGAGGCTTGTGTCATGATGAAGATGTAAGCTCTGGAGTGCCTAAGTGCCTAAGACTGAATCCTGCCTCTGAAACAACCATGATTTTGGGCAGGTCACTTCACTGTTCTATGCCTTAGAATCTTCATCTGTAAAATGGGGGATGATAGTACCTACCTCATAAGGGATTGTTTTGAGGACTGAATGAAATAATGCATATAAAGAACCATGTCAGACATACAGTAAATGCTTATAAATATCAGCTATTATTTAATTCTACAGTGCCTCCCAGTTCAATGCCCCATAGAACAAATGAAATTGACAACTATGAGTTTATTTAATACATTTCCTTGACATGTTCATTTGCCCATACTTAGCCTACCGAATTTCCAATAATGTGAAGAAAAAAAAAAAAAAAAAGCTGTTGCTACAATAGCCTCTCTTTCCCCCCACACTTCATGGTTCTGCCTTCCTTTTCCAAGACCCATTTGCTGGCCCCATCTCTGCCTCCTCTCCCACTAACACTTGCCCCTACACAACTACCCTGTGTCACTTTAAGATTTCAAAGGGTACAAAGACAGTAGTCAATTAAAGAGGTGTTTGCAGATGGGAGCACTTCCCTTGCCCCACCACCATATTCCAAAATTTCTCCTTTTCTGGTGTATTGGAAGACTGCTGTGGAACAGAAAGGCCACCACCTACAGGAGGTTCTGAGAGTTCATTTGCATAACATATCTCTAGAATCTCTTCTCCTTGGGTTAAGGGCAGCAGGTTTTTCAGGTCCAAAGCTGCTCCACAGCCCTCACCCTGAACTCCCTGCATTCCAGAGATATTAAGTCATGGAGGCTGGGGAGGGTAGTGGGAAAAAATACGCCTGGTCCAGTACCAACGCATATGTTTCTGCCCCGTGTATCTCCACTCTAACTCTAATTGGCCTGCTTGGCTTAATGGGTGTCACTGTGTTCCCACAGCACCTGTGCCTTAAGTAGCTGATTCACATGGCTTTTATGGACCAAATTACAGTTCCACGCTGCTTCTGATTTTAATAGAAGGGTGTATTAACCACTAGGGAGAAATTATTGCTTGAATTCCAAAGAGACAGCGTGTTCTTCTGGAGACCTTAATAGATTCTTTCAAATTCACCTTAAATAACACAGTCAGAAGATGGGAGTGTGAACTTCTGACACCAACCTAAGTTAAGTCTCTTCATCAAAGATAAAATGGATTGACAAAAAGTGTCCACTACTCCAAAGCAAGTCACTTGACTCTCCCCCCAAATTAATGATCCAATCCTTTTAGCCCCCAAACAGTGGTTGAAGATGGGACAACCACACTAGACATGCCAGGAAATAGGAAGATTCTGGCTAACAGTCCTGCTACTTAAAGAAGGGAGCTCCTCCGCCATAAACTCCTGACACTGGATAAAAGGAAGGGAAACAGCTAAAGATAAACTCTTAACATGATCTCATGAGTAAAACTGGATGGGGACGAGCAGTTTTAGGTCAGATTGTTCACAGTTTCTCATAACATTGTGGTAGCAACAATTGGCACATGCTACTGGGAATTCTCAACTTTTCCTGGTGTGTGAGGAGTAAGCATTAGGTAAATGCTGGGATACTAGGCCCCGATAGGCAGTGGCCATACTAACCTCGATTCTTTGGTTAACTTAGAGGCATCTAGCTGACTTGCCCATCAAAATACCCCACTGATAGGAGATACATGAGAAAGGGAGATATGCATTCATCCGTTGGGGGTGTGGGAATGAGCAGAAGGTTGATAAACATTTCCTTATTAGAAAATAAAACCCGGTGGGCAAAAACCAGTACCAATGATGAGTTAATTTGATCTGCTTTCATTCCTCTGTCTTCATTCTACCTTGGAGTATTAGCTGCCATCCAAAACCCAAACAGCATGAAGGTCATAGCCCAGCTATTATTACCTTCTCTCTCCCCTGGGGGGGGGCAGCAAAATACTCGGAACAGTAGGAGACATAACACAATCTTCATTCCTTCCATACATTAGAAACATTTTCAATTACAGTTCAACTTCTCTGAGATCTCAAGTAGTAAAATGACAAGAGCACAGAAAAACCAGGTTGGAGGGAATTCCTGATAACGAGGCACGAAGTGAGAGATTTTACTCAAACACTCCATTCCACAAGCTGGATGCCCCTGCAGGTCCCTGAGAAAGAGTCATTCCGGCTTATGCCCTGCAGGAATTCTATTCCACACTCCCTCCTCGGAGTGTGCCTAGGAAGGGCTGCTTGAAAAGAGAGGTCTTTGATGAATGATCACTAGTAAAATCCGAATGGAAAGCTAACTTGTTTGGGGAGCAGCTCTTTTAATAGTAGGGGTTTGTTTCTTAAACCACAGTTTCTCAATGGAATTAAAAAAAAAAAAAAACCAGCCATGCTTACAGTTACAATTCCACATTAATCAGCCAGTTTCCTGGGAGGTGCCCATAATTAGCAAGTTGTCACATCCTCTGATCAGATTCTGGTGGAATTCTGGGCCTTCATCCCAGCCCTAGGAAAGCTCAGTAATGCCCTGGAGCAAATGAGCAGAGCTACAAGATCACATCCAGAGAGCTTAAGGTGCTTGGAGGTAAGTTATCCCCTAGGGCAGCCAAACAGCTGCCCTGGGTGGGAGGGGGGTTCACAGTATCTCTGACCCTTCTTGGTTTATAATAGCTACCCTGGGTTTCCAAACATAGCAGTCAATCTTAAGGAAATAAATCCTATTTGGGAGCTGCCCTTTCTTCTTAGAGGCTTACCAGAAAATTGAAGAAAATGTCCCAGTGGGTACTCACCTATGAGCCTCATCCTCTCCTTCAGTTTCAAAGTTGCTCTTGGCCACCCCCAGCCTATCCCAAAAGACCCAGAAGACAGAATCTCAGACAATGCTTTGCCTTGCTTCAGCATCACAGGATGGCTCTGAGTTCTCAATCCTGCCCCGAGGGTGCCGGTGGCAGCAGACGCAATGGAGGTAGTCCACTACGTTGTGGGTAAAGAGTGAGCGCAATGGGTGCAGGTACTGGAAGAAAAGGAGCATGAAGCCAATGGAAATCAGATAAGCAATGATAAGCTGCAAAGCAATCAAGGAAGGACAGTAATCCAGTAACACTTTGACTCCAAAGAACTTGAAAACCAAAACCATGATCACGTTCTCTACCAACCTTATGCTATAGTGCAGGCCCATGTGCCCCCAGTTCTGGCCTTTGTCAACGAGGTCCCTGTCTGCCAGTTTCAACTGCAAAGCTGACCAGCAAGAGAAGTTGATGCCCGCATAGAGAACAGTGATGGAGATCAGCACCACCAAGGTGCCAACCCGGCTGAAATTTTTCTCAATGTTATTGGGCATCTGGGCACCACTCCTCCAGAACTTAACCCAGGGCTCAAAGAGGATGATCAGGAAGTTGAGCAATAAGAAGGGCACAGCCTTCAGTTTCAAGGTGGCTGAGAAGAGCACCAGAATCACGAGGCGGGAAGTGATCTCCAATGTCCGCCAGATGGTGATGCAGAGGACTTCTAATGGCCCAAGGCGAATCTTGTATTCATCATACTTGATCTGGATAGCCAACATATTGCAGAGGGTAGCCCCATAGGTGACAGAGATCAGGGAAAAGACCATTAGCACAGCTGTAAGAAAAAAAAATAACAGAAAAAATGGACAATCAGACTATGTTAGCGAAGCTTGAACTCAGACCCGGAGGTCCAGAGAGAGGATAGGTGAGGCTTGAGGGCCCAGTTAAGAGCAAATTCACGTATGAACACAGCTATGTTAGCACAGCACACAGCATGCACAGGAAAAAAAAATGGAAAGAAATAAACTAAAATATATTTTTTGTGCTAGAGATTATACCAGTTTTCAAAATCCTTTTTTTCTATGTTTCTCTAGTTTCTAAATTTCCCAAAATGAACATACATTGCAACACTTTAATAATCATGGAAACATACAAAATGAACTTTTTAAGAAGAGTGGATCTCAGAACTAGCATTGAGAGGTCACTAACACAAGAAGAGCACATATATAAAGGGATAAGGCAGCACCCACTTGATGAAATAGGCTTCTGAGCAAACAATGAAGGAGGCAGAAAGAATTCTGAAAAAAGCCAGTCCTAGGAAATTCATAGGTAATGCCTTTGGTTACAGAAGTCCCTTCTTTGACACATATCTTCTTTAAGGAACGAATCTTGTATTTACTTCTAGAATGTGTCAGAACATATACTGGAAATTCCACGAAGGCAGAAAGGACCATGGCTACTTTGTTCCGTGCTGTATCCCCAGAGCCTAACACACTGCCTGGAAGATAGTAGGTGCTCAATAAATGTTTGTGGAATTAATGAGGAATTCTGAGTTTAGAGAGGCAGTATAGAATATTTACAATTAGAAGCCCTTAGTTCAGCTCTGTGAAAGCCACTGAATATCTACGTGCCTTAGTTCCCCAATTCACTGAGATACTCTAGAATTGCTTGCATAAATCATCAGCAATATCAATTTATCACCCAGGTGCTTTGGGTATATTTTAGGAATATATTGGTATATTTCAGGAATCTCCAAACTTCTACCAGAGTGGTTTAAAAAATTTTTTAAAAACCCCATTTCATAGCATATCACATCCATGCCACCGTATAGAGTTGGGGCCCTGAAGGGTCAGGATGCTCCATAACTTGCTACACTAAGTCTCAACTATAGATCACACAGTGTCCCTTTCCTTTCATTCCTTTATATCAAAGAATGCCAATCACTAAGAAAAATCTACTGCTCTCAAGGAGAGTGAGAGGCCTGAGGGGTAACTCATCAAAAAAAAAAAAAAAAAAAAGCTGGAAATTTCTGTTCCCATAAAAATACTAGATCCCAGGGAACTGGAGCCATGGAGATGTCAACCTAATCTGCAAGGAAAGTGAAGACTTCCCCATGGAAACCCAAAAAGAAGCACAGCTTTGTTTCCAAGATCCTTTTCAGCTCTAAGTAGAGTGTTGGAATCTCAAAGACTGGAGAGACTCTCTTGAAGGGTCTACTCTTAGCCTTATTTTTATTTATTATTTTTCCATGTTTATTGAGATATTATTGACGTATAATATTGTATTAGTTTAAGGTGTACAACAAAACGATTTGATATACTCTTAGCTTTTAAACCACTCTTAGTCCCATCCTTAAGAGTTGATGCTCCTAGTTGGGAACATCATCTAGCCAAGTGTGGTGATGCTTTCCCTTAAATTAGAACTCATTTATTGATAGTGTAATAAAAGAAAGCCTGATGCTTCCAATAAATGTAAAAACACCCTCCATCTGTCTCCCTACAAATAGACTCATGCCATAAGAGATCATAATGCTGTTAGTGAATTTGCTCATCTATGCTGATCCAGATGGCCTCCAAGAGAAAAAGAGATTAGAAAAAGGGGTAGTAAGGAGAAGACAGAAGAGTGGATGAAAATGAGGAGATCTAACCCCAAAAACTGTTTACCAAACTTTAAGAGATGGTACTGTCAGCAAGTTTTTAATAGGAGAAAGCACCAAAGAATTGAAAACAAGGCCTCAGGGAAAGTTTCCCTTGCATCCTTTGTAGAGCGATATAGTTAGAAACATGGGCTCTGCAGGCAGGCATCCTGGATTCCAATCCCATCTTTGCCAACTATTACTTATGAAAGCATGGGGGGAATTTGCTTAACCTCTCAATGCCTCTGTTTCCTCATTTGTTAAAATGGGGGTAATAATTCTATCACAGGGTTGTTGTAAAGATTAAATGAAATAATTGCATGCAGGGGGCTTAGAGAAATGTTCAGAACATAGTAGATGCTATCTGCTACCTCCTATCATCATCATCATCATCATCATCATTCCCCATTTCCAAAAGACTAGTACATGCATTTCCCCTACTTAGGCAATCAGGTGATTTAAAAACTAATAGAATACCTAAAAAGAAGCCTTACAAAAATGTGCTAAACCTATAGCAAGAAAACGATACAATTTTACTGAAGTACATTTCATTAAATATTTTTTAATGTACTTCAATAAAGCTGTATCATTTTCCTGCTCCGGGCCTTGCACATTTATGGCATAGACTGTGGGGCTATTTCCTGGATGTATACTTATCTCCGGACTCATCGAGCTGGATATGTTAAATAGGTAGAGGTTTCTGTCAATCATACCTCAATAAAGTGATATAAAACTAACGAAATGGACAGATACATCATCTTCTAATATGAAACTGATCCTGTAAAGATGTAAATTCCCTCCAAAACAACCTAAATAATTTAATGCAATCCCAATACACAGTCTCAATAAAATTTTTTTTCTTTTGTTGTTGTTACTGTTTTGCTTTGTTTTGTATTTTGGTGGGGGAATTGACAAACTGTGGAAATTCATCTATTTGAAAGATTAGGCTAAATTGCCCTATCAGATAGGAGTTGTGAAAGGCCTCTGTGAGAAGTGCACAAGATCCAAAAGCAACAAAGAATTTAAATGCATAAAAATTTAATACTTCAGAAAGCCATTTAAAATGTGTGTATGTACACAAATACAAAACACATAAATGTATACATACGCACTTATCTACAGCAGAGAAAGGATTAATACCAGAATAAGAAAACTGCTCCTGCAAATTAATAAGAAAAAGACAACCTACTATAAATCAGCAATTTAAAGAACACAATAACCAAACATGAAAAGATGCTCAGCTGCCCTCACAATTAAGAGCAAATTATTTAAGTAATCAGTTATTTTATAATTATACAACTAAATAATATTTAGTTTAATATATAAAGAAAAAGCACATTCATACACCTCAGGTGGGAATATAAATTCACACCACCTTTTGGGAGGGCTATTTGGCAGTACTGATAAAATTCCAAACATGCATAGCCTTTCACCCAGCACTTCTATTGCTAAGAATTTATCCTAGGAAGTCTCATTCCGGTACACAGATATTTATAAAGATGTTCACTGGAGCATAGTTTGTGATTAGAAAAACCTTTTTTGAATGCAAAAATCAGAAACAAACTTTAATCCTACCGATAGAAGATTAGAGAAATAACAAAGAATGGTCCAGTTCATATAAGGAAAATATATGTTATATATTTATCATTTATTATTATATATGCATATATAAATAACCGTTGAAGGAAGATATATTGGCATACTTTTGAAAAAAGACATGTTGAACAGAATGTTTAATACAGCCCTTTTTAACAAAAATACATATACATATATATTGTATGTATGTTTACATAGTAAAGAAAAAAAGAGTCTGGAAGGATATATACTGAATGGTTAACAGAGATTACTTCTGGGGAGTAAAATTACATCTCCTATTTGATATACGTTCTGTGTGGTTTTGACTCTTTACCATAACCATGTCAGATTTTTATAATTAAAAAAATAAGGACCAAAAATAGTAATACATGGTCATAGCAAAAATTTTAAACCATATAAATTTCAAACCATACAGAAGGGTATAAAGTAAAAGGTAAATGTCAATGGACTTCTCATTTTCACTCCCCAGAGGTAAATGGTTTCTGACATATCTTTCCAGAAATTTTCTACACATATATGATTACTTGCAGGTCAATCGGTTTGTGCATGCATTACTTCTGTGACGTATACATATTTTAATTAGATGATTTGACCTTCAAAATTCTCAGGAGGAAAAGCATCATTATTTCCTTTTCTCTTCACACTACCGTCAATCCTAGGTACGTTAAAAAGCTTCAAGACCAACAATTCCATGAACAATCCTTAGTGGAGGAAAAGAGAAAAGGGGACAAATTCCCTCCTTATGTTCATTTGTGACATGGGGCTTCGCCAAGCAGGATCAGCATCTAATAATAAGGAAATGGTTCAAAATTGTACCCACAGCTGTACCAGCTCCAGCCCAAGCAGATGAAGCTAATCTTGAGCTGTTAAAACTCATTAACACTACTTTATCTTGACTTTGAAAACATGACTCACATTTCCTCCTCTCCTAGAGGTCTTACTCATCTAAGGATCCATCTTTTACAAGTGGGAAATTAAGACTGTGACCTCTTGGGTAACTTCCTCCAAAAATCACACAGAAGGTCAGGGCTGGGACCAAGCCTCATTTTCATCAGTATTCATTCCACACCCCCATTTCTTTCTCCCCATTGGAGTTGGGAGAAGTAATTAAATCAGTGGTTCCCAAATGTGGCTGATCAGAATCAACTGGGGTCTATTTTTTTAAATACAGATTCCTGGCCTCCCCACACTCAGATTGAGTCTGGTCTGAGTAGGAGAAAAAATTTTCTTAAAAAGGAGCTTTCACCCAGTAATATGTTTTCTCGTGATCAGTAGTATTTGGGAACCTCTTATTAAAAGATGGCCATCCCTAAACCCAAACAAACAAAAAACCCTCAGTATAACTTAAACTGGGCTAGGGAAAGTGTCCTACTGACTGCTGGTATTACCAGCTACTTCTGGGCCCAGAGAGGGCTTATCTGTGGCATTTTTAGCCTTAAATAGCTTACCCCAGTTAAAGAAATCTAGCAGGCCTAAGATGTCTGGCTCCCCAAGTTCTTTGACTATCTACCAGTGCTGTCCAAAGGTTCTGTAATACCTGTGCTATCCAATACAGTAACCACGGCTATTGAAGACTTGAAATGTAGCTAGTATGACTGAAGACGGAAATTTTTTATTTCATGTTTCATTTTAATTTAAATAGCTGCATGAAGCTGATGACCAGTGTATTGGACAGCTCAGGTCTGGATTTCTAAGACCCTTGATTTAAATGGAGCCCTCCCCTCTCCTGACCCCACTCACCTCTACCCAGGGGAACCTCTGCAGAGATCAGAGTCACATAGAGCTGATAGGTCAGCTGGGGCACTGAGCCCAGGAAGGCTTGGATCTGTGACATACGTTTGTAGGCATTGCGGTGCATAGCCAGGGTCCGGATGGAGTGGCCCACCTCCCATTCTATCAGCACCTCCTCGCCATTTATTAGCATCTTCTTTCGGGTGAGGCTGACATAGGGCTCCTCCTGCCCCTCTTTCTTCCACAGTGTGAGGTACTTAATCATGGCCTCCAAACATCTGCAGAGGTAAAGCATCATGGGTACTTAACTAAAGCTGTCCTGGGAAGGAAGGTTGTAGTGGATGGGGGGATAATAATACAACTCAGGGAGTTTGTGCTGCTTTTTGCCATTCCTTAATTCCCATTCTACTCATTTCTCATGAGTCAAAGAGTGCCTTCCACAAGTCACTTGAGTTTAAATCCTTTTTTGTTTGGCTGGCCATCTACTGACCTCTGTGAACACCATTTCAGGGTGTTTCTTAGAGGATTTAAGGAATTGCTTTGTCTCCTTAAGAATAGGCCTATAGTAGAAAAGCACTTTGGACACAAAGATATTATGTAAATAATGTGTTGAGAGAACATGACGAAGGTTCTTAAAGGCCCTGGTTTTCATAACACCTCAAGTTCCTGAAGGAAAGCATTCTTTATGCAAAGCGCTCAGCTCCATACTTGGGGCTTTTGAGTTCTGCTTTTTTCAAGACAAGGCCCACAATTGTAATTGTCCTGCCAAAAAGTCTTGGAGGGGGATCTAGAAAAAAAACCTCGCATCTATACAGTGATGCCATTCAAGAACAAAGGTACTTAAAGACTTGACAACTCAGAACTGAATGTGCTACATCCCTCAGGAACATCAAAAGATCTCTCTGAAGGTTATTTTTGGGGCCTAATGATCTGTTTGGGGCCAAGAGCCTTTTAAACTTCCCTTTTTCTTTACAAAGAGGAAAACATCCTTATGTGAGCCTACTTGAAATAGTGAGAAGACCCCATTTCTTGCTGTCTCCCTCCCATCTCTCCCACATAAATCAGAAGCCTTTAAGCAGTTCCGATGTGGCGACTAGAAGAGAAGCAACTAAAACATCTTGTTTTGGAACACCCGAGTTACCGCTTCCTCCACTCACCCTGAAATGAATAGAAACTGTGGACTATTATAATAAGTAGGAACGGTTGTGGTGAAAATTAAGCTGTCTTTCCTGACTGAGGGCATGGGTTGTATTTATCTTGCCCACCACGCTTATCGCATGGTGGGTGTTCGATAAATATTTTCTGAGTAAATGAAAGAGTAAGAAGGAAGAAAAGAATACAGGGTGAGAAATGATGGGAGGGTAGGATCATAAAATAATGGCAATGTAATTTAATGGAAAAATAGGCTAAAGACAAGCTCAGAGATTTATATGCTTTCTAGGCTTTTGGCTCCTAATTAGGAAGGTTTGGACATGTGCTGGCTGCCATTCTCCATAGGATCCCTCTGAGACTGGGGCATATGTGCCAGTCTGAAGCATGTAGTTTCTCCCTAGGAAGTGGACGTTTCAAACTCTAAAACGCGGAAGAGGAAAAGGTGGAAGGAGGAGAGAACAGAGAAGAAAAAAAGCTAAGTGCATTTCCAACAAAAGATTTCAGATTTTAACCCAGGCCCATCAGTGCTATTGCTGAACAAAATACTGGGGGAGGTAGTGGCAGGAAGCATTCTGTTTATGCTTCTAAAGGCTATTCACTGGTTTAAGTAAGGGTTTTTGCCTTGTTATAAGCCTCAGTAAATTAGAGTACATTTTCATTTTCAGAAGTATCTTTGCATTTCATATAAGGGAGCCAGGTCCTCCAAACACCTTCATGTGCCTAATAGCACTAATCAAGTTCCTACCTACCTAAAAAGTAATTTGCCTTGAACATAAGCATATCAAGGATATAATTTATGAGATTTTAATTATTTCTTCCCTGCTGTCAGGTTAGCTGATTATTATAAATGCTTTCCAGTCATTTCTAGTGGAAGCTAAATAACAAAAATGAAATACAGTACTCAACACTCCATATGGTGGGTCCGAGTCAAAGCAAAGGAGGGAAGTCTAAACTCCGGACTGGGGCAGTACTTGCTGAAACTTGCACCTTGAGGGTGCTTGATCTGTTAACTCAGTATATTGCATTTGAAAAGGCTGATAAGAATGGTTTTCCTTGTTCCTCTAGTGGCATCTCTTAATTTGTGGGGTTTTTTGTTTTTTTTTTAGAGAGAGAGCACGACTGAAAGCATGTGCATGCAGGGGATGGGAAGGGGGGGAGAGAGAGAGAGAGAGAGAGAGAGAGAGAGAGAGAATCTTAAGCAGGCTCTACACTCAGCATGGAGCCCCCTGCGGGCTCCATCTCAGGACTCTGAGATCATGACCTGAGCTGAAATCAAGAGTCGGACACGTAACCAACTGAGCCATCCAGGCGCCCCAACATCTCTAAATTTCTTGGTTCCAAGTTCAAGATGAGGTCTTTCTTTTACAGCTTCACTTCAAATTGAATTGGAGAGGAGCTTTAGATTGCTTAGTCCAAAGGTTGCATATAGGCCAGCTGAGTCATATCTGACCGACAGCTGTGGTTTGTCCATACTGTGTTATTTAGTCAAGTTGCCGAAAGTCAAACTGATATTTCATATAAAATCCTATCTTGGAAGCTTCTCTTGAAAAGTTGGGGAATCTGGCAATACTGGGTCTGAATTCCAACAGTGAAACAATGGGCTGGAACTGTAGAGTAGCCGCCTCCTTTAGGCAAATCATGCAGACTCTAGCTTGCCACACTACTCTCCACAATTTCTCTAACACTGAGACTTCCTTTTCATTTATCATCACACATGAAGCTACTGGTTTTCTCATACTGGGCCTGCTTCACTCATTTATGAGACCTGCCTGGCCCCTGTAAGCGTTTGCGTTTGAGACCCATGATCTAGCCCAACCCATTTATCATACAGATGAAGAAACTGGGGCCCAAGGCATCTTCAGAGATTTCACCAAAGCCATGCAACTAACTAGTCAATGACAGAGGGAGGACTAGACTCCAGGCCACTGGAATTCCAGGCTACTGTTTTCTCTAATGGAGCCTAATCAGTCCCTCCTTGTTTGAGCATATATTGATTTAAAAAAATTTTAAGGCAGGGGAGTTCCATCCTTGAACAGTTTCAGGCTGTGTTTAGTTCTCTAAGGATGAAATATCTTCCCACTGCAATTACAACATCAACACTCTGACACATATTCTTCAGCTGATTGCAATCAAGACAAACTTGGTCCATTCTTTCCTCCTGACTTCATAAGATTTGCAACATCTCCCTAACTTGAAAATCCCATAGCGTCCAGATGAGACTGCTGACACAGATGGCTGTCTCCCTAAGATAAGGCACATTCTCATCCCTTCAAGGCAGTCTGAATGGAAAGACTTGATACGATTACAGTGTGCTCCAGCATCCAGATGGAGAGAGATGGACTATCTTCTTCTGCCCCCTCTAACCATGTGCCTTTATTGCAGAACGATACAAACAGATACACAAGAGACTGATGAACCAACAGAAAAAACAAACAAACAAACAAACTACAATGGGTTGGGGTACTAGATGACCACAAATAGCTGAAAATATTTTCCAGGTGTCAAATAACTCTGGAAAATTTGAAAATGCCACCACCATCAGCCCAAGCAGCTCACGGTAAAGAAACTGAATGTGAGATCCAATTTATAGAGTGTCTAAAAGGCAGAGTCAAAATAACACACTCTGAAGCTATGGCCAGTGCGCACAGGTTAAGCACGTCAGCTGGTCCCGTACCAATTTTCACAACTCAAATCCGAACAGCAAACACTGTCTACCGAAGTCTCAGCAATGGTACCATACATGGCTTTGGAACACAGGTACATGCCACATGTTCATTGTGGTGGCATCTAAGGTTTCAGATAAGATTTTCTGGATGGGAGGCAGGGAAGCCAAGAGTGGGAGGGAATGGGAGAATTGATTAGAGGCACAGTATCAGTCTTGTAAATATTAGCTTCATCTTTCTCTGCACAAACCCTGTGGGGAGGGGAGGGGCGCGTAGAAATGAAAAATTGCTCACCTGATAACAGGTCCCAAGAGGATTAGATGCATAAACAATGACAGCGGCTTGTCCGTGGCCAGATCTCTGTGAACAAAAATGAGGGTCAACTGGACCATAATGGATGAAGACATAAAGAAGGATAAGGTGTATGTCATCCAGTAGGTTTCGCTCTTCTTTCGGTAGATTCTGACCGTGTACAAGGCAGATGCAGCCTCCCCACAGTACAAAAAGGTGGAGAAGAGGATGCCAAATGGAAAGGTAAATCGAGGGTTGGCCCCACGGATGACATCTTCCTCCAGAGATGAAATTGGATCCACGGTGGGCTCCTCAGGAATTTCATAAACTCGGTCCATTGTCGAGGTTCTGAGCAACCCCCACCCCCACCCAAGAGAACCCTGAAGCCACTGCAGTCCAAGTATTGAAGAGAGCTGTCAAGTACAATTCCAGAGCGGAGATCTGCTAGTTAGAGCAGGAGACCCCTCTTTCTAGTTTCAAGTTACACTTGTTGGGAGTATGGGACAGAGAACCCAGGAGTACCACTTTGAACTTGACTCTTCATTGGCCCAGGCTTCCAGTCGTCCACAGACGTGCCAAGAAACCTGGACAGGGCAAAAGCAAGCATTTTAGCGCCCAGGCCGGAGTCCAATTCCAGGCACGTGAAAAGCTTGGGGACAGCTGTCTCCTTGGCCCCTTCTCCTTCCGCAGCCCCGCAGGGAGCGGGGTAGCCACTCTGTCGGGGGCACCAACACTCAGCAGCACCGCTCGAGGAGTCCTGACCAGCACGCCCTCTCAAACCTGCCGAGAACTGAACCAGGGCAGAAGAGGGGGTGCAGCCTGAGCGTCCCTTCGGGGGCTCATTTCAGTGCCTAGGTACCCTAAGCTATCGTTAGGCTGTGGCTACTAGCTCGCCCGCTCGCCGCTGCTCCCTCAGGACCCGCGCCCAGTCGAAGCTTCTCCAGCTCGCTCCACCGATTCCCCAAGCTCCGCCCCCGGGGCAGCCGGCCGGGCGCTGGAGCAAAGGCACCAACCCCTGCCCCGAGCGCAGGCTGGGGGGAGGGGCGGAGCGGGGGTGGGGGTGGGGGTGGGAAGCGGAGCGCGCGCGCGCTCCAGGAGCCAGAGAAAGCTAGAGGGGCTTCTTTTCCACAGAGAAACTTTGCGAGCGAGAAGCACGACGTGCGGGGCGCCAGCCCGGGAGGGCATAGGCAGATGCCGTCAGGCTCTTGGACGCCCCGTCGGCTGCTGGGGTCCTCCCTGACCTGCAGTTGCAGCTGCGAGAGGTCGGCGGCTTGGGAAACTAAGGCACTCAAGGCGGGGGCGGGCCAAATGGGAGGGACGGCTGGGGCCAAACAAAACCAGCCTGCGAGTTCCAGGGCGGTCAGCCCAAGGATGCTCCCTGTGGAGAGGCGCGACAAACGAAACGGGGCGGGGGGGGCTTGGGCTAGCCTTCGGAAGGGCTTTTCACCACGACCCCCGGATCCCAGAGGGAAGCCACAGCTTTCCTCTTCCCCCAAAGCAGCCGACTCCCACTTCTACCCCGCCCTCGGGAACTAGCTAGCTTGCACACTTGAACAACCCACGCGGTTAGGCAGGTGTCTCTCTCTCTCTCTGTCTCTCTGTCTGTCTGTCTGTCTGTCTCTCTCTCTCTCTTTCTCTTGGCCTCAGGGTTGAACTTCCCTAGGTCCTATTGCCCTCCAGATAATATCACGGAGGGGTGGGGCGGAGGAGACCTGAGAGGCAATTGGGCCACAGTTTCCTTTCCAGGCAAGTCTGTATGCAGCAGAGATTAAGATAGAAAGGGATGGGGGGGCGGTTGTCAAGACTCAAGGTCAGCACTGGAAACTCATATTATAATGCCTTGATTTCCCCACTTGCAAAATGAGGCCGGGATAGCAACTTTAGAATTGAACTTTCAGGTCTTTGGCTGGAAGGTTCTCAAGAGGTGCCAAATTCTGAATAGACTGGAGAGGAGCCAAGAGAGCTGTTAGTAAAAGCTGAGAGGGGTGACTTAAAGAGCTCAGAAAATTGCCAGGATTCTTAAGATCAATCCTCCCCACCTCACTGAGCCTTTGTTTTCATGCCTTCATTTGCATAATTCTAAACCCCAGAGAAACAGAGAAAACATCTGCCTCCTGGTAATAATATAAATGTAGCAGAGCCTGTGCCAATCTCCTTTTGCTGCAGGAAGTCAGTACAAGGAATATGTGAGGAGTGGCCAACTAGCAGCCACCAAAATGATGGCCTGGAGAGAGACTTAGTCTTGTGGTTGTGTTGATTTTTAAGATTCCTGCTGTTGCTGCCTCCTTTCCCCAGGGCTGATTCAGGGACAAATCAACTTCTAAAGGTTGCTGCCTTTGAAGCAGGCACGCTATCCGGGTGCGCTATCTGGGTCTGCACCCGTCTTCCTGCTCAGAGCTGGGTTAGCTGGGTTAGCAGGCTGATCCTTCCTCCTTTCCTTTCACAAGGCAGGTCGACACTATCTGAGAACACTTCACACATAGTGTTAATTGGTTGGGGCTTTCCAACTGGCACAGGGTTCTCCACCCACCGTATAGGGTGAAGAACTTCTGGGGGCTTCTTAGGAACCTGTTCTCAAGATGGATCTCAAGTAGGGTGACAAACTCACCTCAGTTTGCTGGGGTGGGATAAGTTGGTCACCCTAGCATGGGAGACTGAAGCTAGAAAGAATGGAGAATCCCAATTCTTTTAGCCTTTCCTCCTTCCCTGTGCCCTCAGCACGCCCCAAATACACAAATCTACAAGACCTTCCTACTTTGTTCCTGAACACCCCTTCCGTCTGGACGCCACTAAAGGCTTTCTGTAATCACCACACTACTTCCCTCTCTAATTTCATCATCCACGTTACCCTATCGCAAACCCTTTGCTCCAGTCCAGCAAACTTTCTCATTTAATCATACTTGCCTCCTCACTTCCACCTCTGTGTCTTGTTGAGGTCATTTACAGTGTCCTGCACTCTTTCCTCCGTTAGTCCAAACCCTAACCTTCCTTCAGGGGTCAGCTCAAGTACTCCCTCCTCCAAGAAGCCTTCTTTCACCTCCCCAGCCCTCACGCTTCCCTCTGTCTTTACGCTACTGGCGCACTCTCTCTTGCACCAGTCCTTCAGCTCTTTCTGTGTTTGGCCTGCCTACCCAACAGAAGTGTAAACTCAGGGAGGGATGCTCAATGAATGTTTATTGTGGTTCTTGTTGATGACAGTAATGATTTAAAAATGGCGATGATGATGAGGCTTCCTCCCCCACACTTCCTCCAGGAAACTATGCAAGACTCAGGCACACTCATCTCTAGAAAAGCTATAGCCACTGTAGCTGGGGCATAAAGTCCTGGGGCATAAAGACCCACTTCCTCAGTCAGCCATTCAGCTCACAGAGGATGCCAGCCCACATATGTCCCTTCTCCAAGTTCCTACAGCGCTTTTTTGTCAACACCATGGTTTAGCAGTAAATTACAAATTATTGCAAGCGTATTATTTTTTATTCCACAACTACATTGCCATAAGCGGCTTAAAGGCAGAGCCCCAACTGTTACACTTTTTTTTTTTTTGGACTCCCCCATGGCTGATACAGACCTGTAAGTTTCTGGCCATCTGATCCCCCTCACCCACCAGCTTCTCTATTTCCAGCCCTAGGACCCTCTGGCGCTTTAGGTCACTAAATCCTCTGGTCTCTTATTTCCCTGTTCCTTTTGCCCTCCTGGGACAAACTGAGAATTTGCCCTGTTTCTGTCCAACTCTCTTTCCTCTTTCAGGCAACCTCTAGATTTCAGCCCTTTACTCCTCTGAGGAGTAGAGACACTGGAAATGTTGACAGGCATGAGACTACTGAGGCCCTGGGAACCCCTGCCCCATTAAGACCACTCATCTCCCGGGGTGCCTGGGTAGCATCTGACTCTTGATTTCAGCTCAGGTCATGATCTCAGGGTCTTGAGATCAAGCCCTGAGTCAGGCTCTGGGCTCAGCACAGCGTCTGCTTGAGATGCTCTCTCTCCCTCTCCCTCTGCCCCTCCCCCCGCTTGCTTACTCTTTCTCTCTAAATAAATAAATCAAATCTTAAAAAAAAAAAAAAAAGACCACTCATCTCCCGAAGACTGGTCAACTGAGGTGATATCCCTAGGCTGCCCCCTGAATACTAGATCGTGTTCAGGGTCAATTTCTTCTTCTCACAGAACCAAAGTTCTACAGGAAAGGGAGACCCAAGATTTGACTCTCCCCTGCAACACCTCCAAACTCAGCAGGAACAGAGAATGAGTCTAAAGGCTCTTGGCATCTTGGGGTGCCTGGGTGGCTCAGTTGGTTAAGCATCTGCCTTCAGCTCAGGTCAGGATCCCAGGGTCCTGGGATCAAGCCCTGAATCGGGCTCCCTGCTCAGTGGGGAGCCTGCTTCTCCCTCTCCCTCTGCCCCTCCCCCTGCTCATGCTCTCTCGCTCTCTCTCTGAAATAAATAAATCTTTGAAAAAAAAATAAAAGTTCTTGGCATCTTTATTAGCATTCAGAACACCTCTGAAACATATAAGGCTCCGGAATAGGTTTAAGCTTTCAAAGCCACTGCAGTCGGAGCTGACTTACAAGAGGTAGCTGGTATGCATGAAGGAAGAGGAGAGGAAGGAGCAAGATGTGCAGCAAGTGGCTGACAGTCGTCATAGAACACTAGCTGGTGGGAGGTGAAAGGCAAGGCCCAGAGAATCATTAGCTCGGATGGAAGCATGCCTTCCTTCTGTAGAACGCTCAATTTGAACCGTTAGAATCTTTAAAAGATATCTAACGCAAAATCAGTTATGCAGCCTCTGGGCCTTCTCTTTTCACTGTAAAGCAACCTGAGGATGAAGAATTTTTTCCTTTCCTGTTCTGAGCCGCTCCCTCGTCAGTATCATCCATAGGGCCTAGAGTCAAAACACGAGTTCCCTGCAACCCTTATCCCTAGTAGTTATGTTTTTAAAAATCGGATTTAAATGATCATCTAAATTAGCACTGGAGGGAAAGAAGGGCTGTTGCAAAATGCAGCATGGAATTTGGGGATGATGGGTGTTGCCAGGCGGATGGCAAGCTGTACATACATTGCCCAGTAGAGGGGAGGGACAGGAGACAGAATTGTGACAGATATTATTTCTTTTTTATTTTAAGTCTTGTTATTTTTAAAATAATGGCTATATTGAGATATAATTCATATACCATACAATTCACCCATTTAAAGGGTACAGTTCAGTGTTTTTAGTACAAAGTTGTGCAGCCATTACCATTACCTAATTCTAGAACATCTTCATCACCCCCAAAAGAAACCACATACCCATTAGGCCCTCACTACCCATTCCCCCCCCGCCCCCGCCACCTGAGCCCTAGTCAACCACT